CATGGCCACTGGCATGATCTAAAACACGCGCGGTCATCAAATGGATTAGCCCGTTGGGCGCACTGCCGACCCAATACTAAAAGTGGACGGACGCGGGCGGCCGGCCGACCCAAACGGACAAAAAGTGGACAGAAACGCCGTCTGTTTGGGTCGACCTGTTGGAGTTGCTCTTATATTATGGAATCATCGAGGAAATTGCACAAACCACCTACTTTTGGTGCTAGTTTTGCATAGAACACCTATTTTACAGGTTTGTTGCACAAAACACCACATATTGGGGTAATTCGTTGCAGCTAGGTCTAATCCACCATTTCTATGTGTTGACATGATTTCTGACAAGTGAGTCCAGTTTGTAAGTGCATCGCAGCAAGAAAAACTTGCCGCATCAGCAGCCAACTAGAACTGTCAATATCTCACAATTCTTTGCTTCAATTGAGCTGGATTTTCCCCAGAATATTAGTGAGTGCATGTATGATTTATTGTTTTTTTACATTTTTTGAAAATGTTAAATTTGAACGAGTCAACTAACATTGCAAACATCTCACAAACTGTGGTCCAAATGAGCTGCCTTTTTTCAAGAATAGTATTGCATACATGTGTGATTTACTGGAATTGTTCTGCATTTTTTTTGAAAATTTTGATTTTTGAGTAAAAAAGTTATGAGCCAATGTAAACTGCGGATATCTCGTTATAATGTGACCCAAACCAGCTGAAACTTTCCAGATTCATTACTAGTTACAAATAGCTAATAGCACACCATAAACTTTCATGTGAAAAACATAAGATTGCTACACAAATATAAAATGATTTATAAATAGGCACAATATTCATAAAATAAAATCAGTAGCACCAAGATATGGCAGATATTGTTGTCGCCAGGCTTTAGCATCCAAGTGGCTGCCATAAAGCCATTATTGACATCATCAACTCTCACATACCAAAATATTACCGCCATGAGGTGTTACCATCCAGGCAGTTGACATGTGACCATTACAGACATCATCAAGTCGCACACACCAAAATATTACCGCCATGAGGTTTTAGCATCCAAATACTGGGCGGTTTTGCAATGTTAGTTGACTCGTTTAATATTTTTGTTCAAATTTAACATTTTCGTAAAATGCAAAAACAAACCAATAAATCATGTATGCACTCACTAATATTCTAGAAAAAAATCAGCTCAATTGGAGCAAGGATTGTGAGATATTGATAGTTCTAGTTGGCTACTGATGTGGCTGTTTTTTTGTCATGGATGCACTTACAAACTGAACCCACTTATCAGGAATCATGTCAACGCATCCAAATGGTGGATTAGACCTAGCTGCAACAAATTACCTCAAAATATGGTGTTTTGTGCAACAAACCTGTAAAGTGAGTGTTTTATGCAAAACTAGCACCAAAAGTAGGTGGTTTGTGCAATTTCCTCTGGGATCGTCCCGTGGGTGGCCAAATTTCGTATTTTGACCCTTTTCTGTGTTGGGGAACGTAGCAGAAATTCAAAATTTTCCTACGTGTCACCAAGATCTATCTATGGAGAAACCTGCTACGAGTAGAAGGAGAGTGCATCTACATACCCTTGTAGATCGCTAAGCGGAAGCGTTCAAGAGAACGGGGTTGAAGAAGTCGTACTCGTCGTGATTCAAATCACTGATGATCAAGTGCCGAACGCACGGCACCTCCGCGTTCAACACACGTACAGCCCGATGACGTCTCCCAAGCCTTGATCCAGCAAGGAGAGAGGGAGAGGTTGAGGAAGACTCCATCCAGCAGCAGCACAACGGCGTGGTGGTGGTGGAGGAGCGTGGCAATCCAGCAGGGCTTCGCCAAGCACCATGGGAGAGGAGGAGTAGGGAGAGAGGTAGGGCTGTGCCAGAACTTCGTGTATAGCTCCCATGCGCCTCCCCACTATATATAGTGGTGGAGGGGCTGGTTTCTTGCCCTCCAAGTCCATTGGAGCGTTGGCCAAGGTGGGAGGAAAGAAATCTCATTATTTCCTTCCCCACCGATTGTTATCCCCCCTTTTTAGGGATCTTGATCTTATCCCTTCGGGATATGATCTTATTCCTTCTAAGGGGGGATCTTGGTGCGCCTTGACCAGGGGTGTGGGGACTTGCCCCCACTACCCACGTCCATGTGGGTCCCCCCATGCAGGTGGGCCCCACTCCGGAACCTTCTAGAACCTTCCCGGTACAATACCGAAAAATCCCGAACATTTTCCGGTGGCCAAAATAGGACTTCCCATATATAAATCTTTACCTCCGGACCATTTCGGAACTCCTCGTGATGTCCGGGATCTCATCCGGGACTCCGAACAACATTCGGTAACCACATACAAACTTCCTTTATAACCCTAGCGTCATCGAACCTTAAGTGTGTAGACCCTACGGGTTCGGGAGACATGTAGACATGACCGAGACGTTCTCCGGTCAATAACCAACAGTGGGATCTGGATACCCATGATGGCTCCCACATGTTCCACGATGATCTCATCGGATGAACCACGATGTCAAGGACTTAATCAATCCCGTATTCAATTCCCTTTGTCTATCGGTATGTTACTTGCCCGAGATTCGATCGTCGGTATCCAATACCTTGTTCAATCTCGTTACCGGCAAGTCACTTTACTCGTTCCGTAACACATCATCCCGTGATCAACTCCTTGGTCACATTGCGCATATGATGATGTCCTACCGAGTGGGCCCAGAGATACCTCTCCGTTTACACGGAGTGACAAATCCCAGTCTCGATCCGCATAAAACAATAGATACTTTCGGAGATACCTGTAGTGCACCTTTATAGTCACCCAGTTACGTTGTGACGTTTGATACACCCAAAGCACTCCTACGGTATCCAGGAGTTACACGCTCTCATGGTCGAAGGAAGAGATACTTGACATTGGCAAAGCTCTAGCAAATGAACTACACGATCTTTTGTGCTAGTCTTAGGATTGGGTCTTGTCCATCACATCATTCTCCTAATGATGTGATCCCGTTACAACGACATCCAATGTCCATAGCCAGGAAACCATGACTATCTGTTGATCACAACGAGCTAGTCAACTAGAGGCTCACTAGGGACATATTGTGGTCTATGTATTCACACGTGTATTACGATTTCCGGATAATACAGTTATAGCATGAATAAAAGACAATTATCATGAACAAGGAAATATAATAATAATACTTTTATTATTGCCTCTAGGGCATATTTCCAACATTCTGAAAGTTAATCGAGATCTAACCCTAATTTGTAAAAAAAAATCCGGATCTGACCCTTTTGCTACCGTCAGGGTCCTTGGTGGTAGAAAACACCCCTACCATCAAACAGGCTGGCGGTAGGCTGTACAACCCTACCACCAAGGTGCCCGGTGGTAGGTGCGAGCACGCACTGTGTTTCATACTTAGGAAAAATTTGCGGTAGGGCATGCAACCCTACTGCCAAGGGCCTTGGCGGTAGGCTGTTATACCCTATCGCCATGGACCTTTACGGTAGCAAAAGGGTCAGATTCCGAAAATTTTACAAACTAGGGTCAGATCTCGACTAACTTTCAGAAAATGGTCAAAACACGAAATTTAGCCTCCATGGGTATGTAGTTTTGCATGTTGCAGCGAAGCATCTATATCTATATCTATACCGATATAAAAAAACAAAGCGGCAGATCCAATTAATCTCGGCCATCAAATCATCTATACCAATGTAAAAAGACCCAAAGGGCAGATCCAACTGATCTCGGCCATCAAATTAAGTCAATCCAACGACCTAGACTGCTCCAATGGCGAGCGTTCAACGTGTTTAACGTGCAATTAATATCATACCAAATATCGCGCAAATCACAAAATTAACACACAAATAATAGCATGCCTAATATCCGCATGCAATTAATATATTGCCTAAATATTAACGTGTGTTGCACGTGCGCATTACTAGTGTCAATCCAACGACCTAGACTGCTTCAATGTCGAGCGCTAAACACGTTTAGCGTGCAGTTAATTTTATGCCAAATAATCACATAATAACACGCAAATAATATCCTACTTAATATACGCATGCACTTAATATACTTCCAAATTAACGTGCATTGCACGTACACATTGACTAGTATGTGAAAACAACATTTTGTAAGGTGTGACGGTTTCTTTTTAAGAGAAAAGAGAAAAGAATCAGATCTATTACAAAAGTTTACTAAAAGTACAAAGCATCTCAAGCGTAATAAAAATTACATCAAGATTTCAAACAACCTAACATCGCCAAAACAAGCGCCAAAAGCCAGCTAGACACCAATGTCTTCGCCTCCTCTCCGAGATCCGCCCGCTCCGATTGTCCCCCATGGTTGTGATCCCCGCCTCCGATCAAAACCCTCCTCCGCCATATGCTAGGTTCTCAAGGAAGAACACACATGCGGACAGATGGCATTTCTTGGTTTGGCCCGAATCGATTGATCGTCGGAAACATACAACGGTTGGTCTCATCCAGATGCGCTAACCAGAGACACCTCCTCGACGGGATTGTCTTCTTCCACTGAACGAACATCGTCGAAAAGTAAAAAAAAAATCTAAAAAAATGTGAGCACCCGTATTAAGTTTAGGACTTTAACCCTGATAAACAGGTTTCACCACAAGAAAACTAACAATCTCAGCTTGTTGTCAGCTGAAAGGGCTATATCTGTAATTACATCACCTCGCTTATGTAGGGCGATGTCAGCGGCACACTGTATGCTGGTTGGGAAACTTCCCTGAGGACCTCGTACATGGTAGGTGGTCAACGATTAAGTACTGTATTTTGTGGAAGGAGGTCAGTGGAGAGTGGAGATTGGAGGGTCGGGGGCTTTAGGAACCTTCGTAGTTTGTAGGCATAGCAACACAAGTTACGCAATGCAACTTAAACTATCAACTATTCAGACGCTCGGCCGGACGGCAATTTATAGTTAAGGGCGTGGTGGCGCCTCTAAATTAACCAAACTCACGCTCTCCCAAGTCCCAACACCAATCAAGCACATTGTCATGGACGCTAACCGTGACTCCAGCCTCGCCACCGACGACGAGCTCCTCCAAGCGCAGGCCGAGCTGTGGAACCACGTCTTCGCGTACACCAAGTCTATGTCCCTCCGGTGCGCCGTCGAGCTCGGCATCCCCGACGCCGTCCACCGCCGCGGCGGCTCCATCACCGTGCCCGACCTCGTCGCCGAGCTCTCCCTGCCCCCCTCCAGGACGCCCTACCTGCGCCGCCTCATGCGTCTGCTCGCGCACGCCGGTTTCTTCGACGCCGGGCCAGCGCCAGACACCTACGGGCTCACCCTGCTCTCGCGCCTCCTCGTCTCGGCGCCCGGCGCGGGGCAGGGCCTCTCGCCGTTCGCGCTCGCCATGCTGCACCCGATCATCGTGTCCCCGTCCATGTCGCTGGCGGCGTGGTTCCGCGCGTCCGACGACGCGGCGCGCGTGCCGTTCGCGACCGCGCACGGCGGGCGCGAGTTCTACGCGGTGGCGAAGGAGAACCCGGAGTTCGGCGCGGCGTTCAACGAGGCCATGGCGTGCGACGGCCGCTTCGTGATGGACCTGATCGTGCGCGGCCACGGGCAAGACCTGTTCCGGGGGCTCGCCTCGCTGGTGGACGTCGGCGGCGGGTCCGGCGGCGCCGCCAGGGCCATCGCCGCCGCGTTCCCCCAGGTCAAGTGCAGCGTCCTGGAGCTGCCGCACGTCGTCGCGAGCGTCCCGCCGGGCGACGGGGGCGTGGAGTTCGTCGCCGGGGACATGTTCGAGCGCGTCCCGAAGGCCGACGCCGTCCTCCTCAAGGTTAGGCCTAGGCACCTTCCTCGGATCATGGACGAACTTGACTGATCCATGACGTCGCGTTTACTTTGGGACTTTTGTTCGCAGTGGATTTTGCACGGGTGGGGGGACGAGGAGTGCGTGAAGATACTGCGGCGGTGCAGGGAGGCGGTGCCGGCCGGCGGCAGGGTGATCGTGATGGACCTGGTGGTGGGGTCGAGCCCGGCGGACGCGAGGGCCACGGAGACGCAGCTGCTGTGGGACGTGATGATGATGGGAGTGGTGGGGAGCCCGGAGCGGGACGAGCGCGAGTGGCGCAAGATATTCGACGACGCGGGATTCAGCGGCTACAAGATCCTGGCCATCCTCGGGATCCGGTCGGTGATCGAGGTGTACCCTTAGATTTCCTTCTCTCTTTTTGTTTGCGAGGAATCCTTGATTTCCTTTTGTCTCTGGTATTGTGCTCACTGCGAATGGACGCACTAGAGGGCCAAGGGGTCTATGGTGGCTTGTGGCGTTTTGTTTGACGAAAAAAAATCGACGAGGAAAAGAAAAAGAACCAATCTATGATGGCAAAAGGGGCGCGCCGGCGGCTACATGGCATTTCAGATTTTTTTTCCAGTTTCCTTCTGGATTTCTTTTGCGTTCCAGTGTTCCAGCAAAAACTGTCATTTGTCTGTGTTTAAAACTGTCATCATCGTGAGTATATGCAAAAATGCCATCATCTTCTCCTGCTTCTGCTATCAAATCTTGTTAGGAGCTGATCAAATTAACCTTTTATGTGCCATGCGAACAAATACTGATATTCGATGTCCCTATCATGCGGTATTTGATTAGACTTGTTGAAGGTCAAGAAACATGAGCATCAATGTCAAATTTAGCACTTGAACCCTGGTGGCAGTGATAGAGAGTGAACCAAGTATAAGAGGGGGTTGATTGCCCAATTAGTTAAGAAACAGCCCCTCAGCCTTTGCTAACCCATGAAACAAGGCTAACTAAGAGCATCTACAACCGGGCGCCCCAAACACTCCTCAAACGCTCGGGCGGACCGCCCGGTCACTGACCGATCATGAAATTTCAACCTAGTCGGGGCCCTCAAACGGGCCTTAGACGACCGGGCTGACCGACACCCCTCATATCCAACCCAAATATGGGACGGATATGGGGGTGCCCGCCACGTCGGATCCAATAGCCCGCCCCATCCTAAATTGCACCAAATCCACCCTCCAGAGTTGCCGGATCCATTTAATCTCTCCTCTCTTCTTCCTCCTCTGCGTCGTTCGTCTCGCAGCTTCGCCGCCAGCTCCGGCAGAGCAGTCCGCTATCTCGTCCTCGGCGTGGAGGACGCCGTTGCCGGCCTGGACAACACCACGGTACGTCCGGCAACTCTCTGGCTCCACCTTGCGCTTGATGTGTTCGACACATTGTCTGACCGATTTTTTGTGTGATTTTATTAGGGAAAACGATGGATCCCGATGCCTTGTCGGACGAGGAGTATGAACCTACGGAGCTTGATCAAATGATTCAAGATGAGTTCTTCAATTCCTCGGATTCGGGCGAAGAAGTGGTCATGATCATGCTCATGAGAATGTAAGAGAAAATGGACCAACAAGTGGAGCATATTCTCAACTTCAAGGGCTCAATCAAAGGGAGAAGAGTGATCAATCGGGATAGGGTGTCTGGAGCAAAGCAACTGCACAGGGATTGCTTTGCTCCCAAGCCTATTTTCTCGGATGATCCATGGTTTTGTCGCCCTTTTCGCATGCGGAAACCATTGTTTTTGTGCATTGTGGAGGGAGTGGAGGCACACGATGACTACTTCAAGCTCACAAGGGATTGCTGTGGACAACTCTCGCTCTCTGCCAAGCAGAAGTGCACGGCTGCTTTGAGGATGCTTGCACTTGGTACTGCTGCAGATGCCGTTGGTGAGATGGTCAGGATGGGGGAGAGCACATGCCTGAAGACTACTGTCAAGTTTGCTCGTGCCGTGTGTTGGGGAACGCGGTAATTTCAGAATTTTCCTACGCACACGCAAGATCTATCATGGTGATGCATAGCTACGAGAGGGAAGAGTGTTGTCCACGTACCCTCGTAGACTGTAAGCGGAAGCGTTATGACAACGTGGTTGATGTAGTCATACGTCTTCACGATCCAACCGATCCTAGTACTGAAAGTACGGCACCTCCGCGATCTGCACACGTTCAGCTCGATGACGTCCCATGAACTCTCGATCCAGCTGAGTGTCGAGGGAGAGCTTCGTCAGCACGATGGCGTGATGATGATGATGATGAAGCTACCGGTGCAGGGCCTCTCCTAAGCACTACGACGATATGACCGAGGTGGATTATGGTGGAGGGGGGCACCGCACATGGCTAAGACAATGATCAACTTGTGTGTCTAAGGGGTGCCCCCTCCCTCGTATATAAAGGAGTGGAGGAGGGGGGAGGGCCGGCCCTCTATGGCGCGCCCTAGGGGAGTCCTACTCCCACCGGGAGTAGGATTCCCCCCTTCCAAGTAATAGGAGTAGGAAAGAAGGAAGGGGAGGAGAGGGGAAAGGAAAAGGGGGGCACCCAACTCGGATTGGGCTAGGGGTCGCGCCTCCCACCTTTTTCCCTTCCTCTCCTCTATTCCACTAAGGCCCAATAAGGCCCATATACTCCCGGGGGGGTCCGGTAACCTCCCGGTACTCCGGAAAATGCCCAAACTTGTCCGGAACCATTCTGATGTCCAACCATAGGCTTTCATGTTGGGGAACGTAGTAATTTCAAAATTTTCCTATGCATACGCAGGATCATGGTGATGCATAGCAACGAGAGGGGAGAGTGTTGTCTACGTACCCTCTAGACCATTCGCGGAAGCGTTATATCAACGCGGTTGATGTAGTCGTACGTCTTCACGATTCGACCGATCAAGTACCGAACGCACGTCACCTCCGAGTTCTGCACACGTTTAACTCGATGACGTCCCTCGAACTCCGATCCAGCCGAGCTTAGTGGGAGAGTTCAATCAGCACGACGGCGTGGTGACGATGATGATGTTCTACCGACGCAGGGCTTCGCCTAAGCACCGCTACGATATGACCGAGGTGGATTATGGTGGAGGGGGCACCGCACACGGTTAAGAGATCGAAAGAATCAATTGTTGTGTCTTTGGGGTGCCCTCTGCCCCCGTATATAAAGGAGTGGAGGAGGGGGAGGGCCGACCCTCTCTATGGCGCGCGCTAGGGGAGTCCTAGAGTAGGACTCCCCCTTTCCTAGTAGAACTAGGAACCCTTCCAAGTAGTAGGAGTAGGAGGGAAGGAAAGGGAAGGGAAAAGGAGAAGGAAGGAAGGGGGCGCCCCCTTCCCTAGTCCAATTCGGACCAGCCCATGGGGAGGGGTGCGGCCACCCTTTGAGGCATTTCTCTCCTTTCCCGTATGGCCCATTAAGGCCCAATACGAATTCCCGTAACTCCACGGTACTCCCGAAAATACCCGAATCACTCGAAACCTTTCCGATGTCCGAATATAGTCGTCCAACATATTGATCTTTACGTCTCGACCATTTCGAGACTCCTCGTCATGTCCCCGATCTCATCCGGGACTCCGAACTCCTTCGGTACATCAAAACACATAAACTCATAATATAACCGTCCTCGAACTTTAAGCGCGCGGACCCTACGGGTTCGAGAACTATGTAGACATGACCGAGACACGTCTCCGGTCAATAACAAATAGCGGAACCTGGATGCTCATATTGGCTCCCACATATTCTACGAAGAATTTTATCGGTCAAACCGCATAACAACATATGTCGTTCCCTTTGTCATCGGTATGTTACTTGCCCGAGATTCGATCGTCGGTATCTCAATACCTAGTTCAATCTCGTTACCGGCAAGTCTCTTTACTCGTTTCGTAATACATCATCTCACAACTAACTCATTAGTTACAATGCTTGCAATACTTATAGTGATGTGCATTACCGAGTGGGCCCAGAGATACCTCTCCGACAATCGGAGTGACAAATCCTAATCTTGATCTATGCCAACTCAACAAGTACCATTGGAGACACCTGTAGAGCACCTTTACAATCACCCAGTTACGTTGTGATGTTTGGTAGCACACAAAGTGTTCCTCCGGTAAATAGGAGTTGCATAATTTCATAGTCATAGGAACATGTATAAGTCATGAAGAAAGCAATAGCAACAAACTAAACGATCAAGTGCTAAGCTAACGGAATGGGTCAAGTCAATCATATCATTCTCCTAATGATGTGACCGTGTTAATCAAATGAAAACTCATGTCTATGGTTAGGAAACATAATCATCTTTGATCAACGAGCTAGTCAAGTAGAGGCATACTAGTGACACTCTGTTTGTCTATGTATTCACACATGTATTATGTTTCCGATTAATACAATTCTAGCATGAGTAATAAACATTTATCATGATATAAGAAAATAAATAATAACTTTATTATTGCCTCTAGGGCATATTTCCTTTAGTCTCCCACTTGCACTAGAGTCAATAATCTAGTTCACATCACCATGTGATTTAATACCAATAGTTCACATCACCATGTGATTAACACCATAGTTCACATCGACATGTGACCAACACCCAAAGGGTTTACTAGAGTCAATAATCTAGTTCACATCGCTATGTGATTAACACCCAAAGGGTACTAAGGTGTGATCATGTTTTGCTTGTGTGAGAAGTTTAGTCAACGGGTCTGCCACATTTAGATCCGTAAGTATTTTGCAAATTTCTATGTCAACAATGCTCTGCACGGAGCTACTCTAGCTAATTGCTCCCACTTTCAATATGTATCTAGATTGAGATTTAGAGTCATCTAGATCAGTGTCAAAATCTGCATCGACGTAACCTTTTACGACAAACCTTTTTGTCACCTCCATAATCGAGAAACATATCCTTATTCCACTAAGGATAATTTTGACCATTGTCCAGTGATCTACTCCTAGATCACTATTGTACTCCCTTGCCAAAAACAGTGTAGGGTATACAATAGATCTGGTACACAGCATGGCATATTTTATAGAACCTATGGCCATGGCATAGGGAATGAGTTTCATTCTCTTTCTATCTTCTGCCGTGGTCGGGCTTTGAGTCTTACTCAGTTTCACACCTTGTAACACAGGCAAGAACTCTTTCTTTGACTGTTCCATTTTGAACTACTTCAAAATCTTGTCAAGGTACGTACTCATTGAAAAACTTATCAAGCGTCTTGATCTATCTCTATAGATCTTGATGCTCAATATGTAAGCAGCTTCACCGAAGTCTTTCTTTGAAAAACTCCTTTCAAACACTCCTTTATGCTTTGTAAAATAATTCTACATTATCTCAGATCAACAATATGTCATTCACATATACTTATCAGAAATGATGTAGTGCTCCCACTCACTTTC